TTAAGGCAATTGTTGTTAAATTTATAGAAATACTATTGTAAATTGTATATTTTCGTACGATTTTTTCAATTAAAAACAGTCAAATCATACATATGCGTTATTCATTAATCCCGGCACTATCTCCACTCCTATTCCTAATATCAATTAACCAAAAAAGTAATAAGAAATAATAAATAATAACAAAATAATTAATTCTAAAACTGTAAGTTTTGGAAGAAGTTCTGGAATTAGTTCCAATTTTCGCCACTAAAGTGGTGGGGGCGCCTCTAAATGTCCCATAAATTTCCAAATTTTTCCGGCACTTTTGTGAATCGAGGATGGCGGAAAAACCTGCAAGTTTGTGGGGGTCTCTAGGCCCCCACCAGGGCGCCAAAAACTTGCATTCATATTCCAATCAAAGAATTTACAGAATAAGGAATAGGAATCTAAAGTAATTTTCAGTAGTTCCATACATCTTTATCTCGAATAATTTTCTAAAACATTCAAAGTATTAGACATTTTTACACTTTGAATCTCATATCGATTTCTAAAATAATCCTAGTTCGATGTAATATAGAACGTGGTTTTATGAGATAGATTCGAAGTTCGCAGCCATTAGCTCGATATTGTCATCAGTTTACAGTACTTTACCGATGATAATACCGATTGCCCAGGCCTCACCACGAGGAGGTTGCTGCGAGTGGAGGCCCAAGGCAGGTAGATGGAATCACAAGTTCTACATCTTTCCACCTTTCATAATAAACCTTATAAATAACTTAAATCTTAACTATCTAATACTATCTGTACTAAAATCCCTCGGCGGATGACTTCTTTCATGAGCCTAAATCTATAAAAAACAAAGTTCCCTCGTCGGTTGTCTTCGTTCTTCAGCTTAGAACTAATATTATTTTAATATTCTAATTAATACGAATTAATGCTATTAATACAAAATAACTTAAACTAAACGCAACGTAGTCGCTAATACTCAAACGAAAGAGATAGACGGAACGGAAAAAGTTCCATCGATCATTTCGTTTACGCACCTAATATTCTATATACCAAGCAGTTATTAAGTCTACGATGAACTACGCGTTAAACTACAGTATGAACAAGTATCGCGATGAAAGTGTTGTCGCCAGAACCTGGTTTAAGGAAATAGGAAAGACGGGCGACACCTTGCTAACCCGGATCCATCTTTTACTGTCATGGAGCTTTGGGCTGGCCTGGCTTCCGTGCAAATAACGGTAGCGCGGGAAATGAATGCTTACTGTACATATTCTTGGGTGCCTCGAACACTGCAATAAACGAGCTCCTATTGTAATTGACTAGTACCTTGAACGTTTTGCCGTAGATAGCGCCACTGATGTGCTTAAGTCTAGCAGAAATTAAACTTTATTTAAACCTGTGTTGTCATATAGTATTTTTAAGAAATTATTAACCCTTTTAGAATGACGACGAACATTTAACACCTTTTTACAATTACATTGCTGAGATGCTGCCGTACACAAGACTTTACAGATTGTAGAAATTATTAAAAAAGTATTTATACAATTTTTCATTTGCGTTTGTTAAAAAAATCTTCTTTAATAGTGTTCCTTTTTATTGAGTAGATGAATATATATATATATATAGATAATTATAGAACTCTTGTAAAAATAATGAAATGATTGAATATAGTTGTTTCTGTTTTGCATCACAATTAAATTCATCCGTTTATTTGGAATACAATTCTTATCGAATCAATGTTACAGAAACATTAACTATTTTCAGATAGGGGCAGCTTTCTCTAACATTTCTTTCTAATACGACAATTGACATATCTATACTGGTTACAGGTTCTATTAGGTTTAGGCTTTCGTCAGATCAAAGCGTACCTATTCCGTTCAAGACACGCAGGTATCGACGACGTAATTAGGAATTCGTGAGTGCAACGTCCACTCTGACCGGTTTTGAAGAGGGCTCTCGAGCCATTGCGTTAACTGCAGGAAACCAGACGCGTGTTTGGATGAGCGATGCTAAATATATAAACAACCCGTTTTACTCGTAGAAAGTGTTTACTTACATTCTGATCGACAGTAAATAATTCTACAGAACCAGGATGTATAAAACTCAATAAAAGAACAATAACATTACTAGTAAGTGAATACTTCTTTTCGGTAATCTTTGATGGTACACAGATATGATTTCAAAAAATAATGAAAGTTGAGAATATTGGTTAATGGACATTTAATTTCCTTGTACAATTACTCTGTGTTCTTGTACAACCACTTTAGTGAAAATGTATGTCTTTACGGTGAACGTAGATGTGTAAAATATATTCTAATGACTTTTACTATTAGTGGATTAAAAACAGTATTTGCATATTTAAATTTTTTACAGTAAATATTCTAAAATGACTACACAATGTATCATAGAAAGAACTATATTACTTAAGAACGTATTAGTTATGACAGAGTAATATAATGAAGCCTTCTCTGTGCAAATACTTTGTATTCGTTCAAAAAGAAAAAAACAAAAATAGAAACACCTAATAGGCTCTTCTCTTATTCGACCTGTTATAAACTGATCAATGGAAATGGGAATGGGCAAAAGGTCCTTTAACCTAGGAATCACAGCTGCAACAAGGTTTCCAGTCAATCGTGGGACCATTTAAGATCTCAACGGCACTTCAATTTCTTCTTTATTAGATATTCTTTTTCTTATCACAGTCGATGCTACGAATTACAAATACAGATTGCTTCTCACGTGTCAATAAATATACACAGAAACCCCGGGAAATGATCGTCGTTAGTCGGAAAAACAAACATCAAGACGGTCTCCGAAGTCGATCAATTATAAAATACACATTTCAATGGAAACAGCAGGAGGAAGGGAGGGAGGGGAGGCTGAAGAACGGGAGGCGAAGTTTCAACACGCGTTCATGCTGGCGTATTAAAAGCTGACACTCGGTGTTCTGGTACGACGAAGCCTCTTTACGGTCACGCGAGTCTACTTCAATCGGAACCGGGTCAAATAACATGTAAATAGGACCCGTCTCGGCTTCTTTTACGACAACGTGGATTAACACTGAGTATTTGTAACGCAATCTTGTACTATATCTTTACACTTCTGTTATGCGCCGTCGCGCGCGATCCCGTCGGAACAAGAAGAAAACGAGGGCGTTTTTGTTGGGGTTAAAAAGCATCCATGTCAACGGACCACGATCGCCGCACCGTCACACGAACGCTAATAAAACGAAATCGTTCGGACGGTCGACTCGTTAAATAACAATTGCAATACGCGAAGGCAACTCGATTCTTATTCGTGGCTGAAATCATCTTCGTTGGACCGCTCGATGAGTCGAGACACGAACGCGTTAATCTTACATGTACTGTATTGCAGTGCGCAATCGTTGGTTAGCGGCGCGCGTGGTTAACGCGTTCGCCGCCATTTATTCTCTGACGTCACAATAACAGTCAGTGATACAAGTTGATGATACTCGAAACGAAAGAGCACGCAGCTTTTCCGTATTGGACCATTGACAGATATGACGGCGAACTTGTTAGAAGGCACACTGGCGTGCACAGTTTTGTCGATGTCTCGTTGAACGAGGCTTGTCAAACGAGCAGTAATTATTTATTTATAATTTTACCAGGAAACTTCTATGCGGCTGTTGGTGATAATTAGACTGCGGATTTTACGTATCCACGGTTTATACAAATATGCATCAATGATTAATAGAGTTTTTGTTTTATTTTTAGCTAATATAAATCCGTTAATACATGAATTTTTGATGCAAATATGAATCCCCTAATAAATTGTAGTTTCTGTAAAAGTATGGATGAAAAATGTGAATTTGCATAAAGTTCCGCAATCTAGTGAATTTTTTATTCTGTTTCTCGAAGCCATTGGCGGGATGAAAGATTCAAGTTCTAGAGACCGTAGATCGAAGACCTTGAACGTGGAATATTTTATGTCCCATTAAAGTGGTCCGCGTCATCTAACAGCCTCGGAAAGTGTTAATATACGTCACAAATATCTATCCTGAACAACACATCTGTACGCACGTGTATACATATAGGTATATAATATATAACATTTAAATGACATTTGTTCCTCGTTGAAAAGCTTCTTGGACCCTTCGAAGGGATCACCCAATAGTGGACGGATCTTCTCTACTTTGATTGGCATTACGTAATTTACCTCCAACTTTTTCCCTACCAAAATTTAAAGTATCCCGCTATAATATTGCATCGTATGCAATTCGAAGTCACGCTTGAACATACGGACGAGTATATTTCGTGTCCAATGTTCATACATCGTTGACCATGAGTATTCACGATCGTTGCATTCGTGGCTTCGTTGTCGAAGCAATATAAAATTTTCTCTTTTTTATATAGTCCATTTTTCTTGCCAGAAAAAACTAGTTCCTTCAAACGATTTTACAAATCTTTAATTCAGAGACGGTCAAGGTTATATTTCAAGAAAACACGACCATTAGAGACGCCGTACAAGACTTCATTCATAATGTTCAGACTACGGATGTTCATTTATAAAACCAAGAATTAGATAAACACTCATTCTTGTCATTATTTTTATTAAGTTCAGAACAAAATATGTATAAAAATCTCACCAAACGCTCTTATATATTCGCGGGCGCGGCTGAAATGAACAAAAACACTCATGACCAATGGTGTATGCGCGTCAGTGTATACAGGGTGTCCCAAATTAGCTTCGACTCCCGGAAAGCAGGTGTTCCTGGGATGATTTGAAACAACATTTTCCTTAGCGAAAATGTTATCCGAGGCTTTGTTAACGAGATATTAACGAAAAACCCTGACCAATCAGTGCTCGAGTCTGCCGGCCGAGCTCTGATTGGTCGGGGTTTCTCGTTAATATCTCGTTAACAAAGCCTCGAATAACATTTTCGCTAAGGAAAAAGTTGTTTCAAATCATCCCAGAAACCCTTCATTTCCGAGAGTCGAAGCTATTTTGGGACACCCTGTATACCTACAAATATATGTATAGGCACGTTTCTCGGTTTGATCCATTAACGGCGGTGTCCTCCGACTAAATCTAGTCCCTACGGTTACGGTCAAGCGAAGTAATGCTCTCGTTTAATCTACTATTTAATTGCACTTGGTAATCGAAGTGGGGGGTGAACGATCGTTCGAAGGTCGCGAGCGGACCCAGTTCGTTGCACCTCCTGTTAACGATTTGTCGCTGGCTAGGATCGGATCGATCCGGTTCGGATATCCGGAAAAAGGCGACCAGTTGTCGCGAGGATCAGCCGCGGGTCGTTTCTTTCCGGGTTATCTTTCGGCCGACGTCGACGGACCGGATTCCCGAATCGTGCGAAACGGTAGTACCACGTCGATCGTCTCGTGGCTCGAGCGAGCGAGCGAAACCCGGCCCCGCTCAGAAGCTGCCGCACTCCCGCAACACGCGATTCCCGAGCGGCAGGGGCGGACGGAAGTTGTTGATTACCTGGAACCAGAAGAGAGAAAACCACCGGAATTAGGAAACGGGGCCGTGATTCCGCCGAATTGATATTCATTCGATGCGACCACAGCTAAAAATAACAGTCAGAAACGCAACCGGATGGGCTGCCGCCACGATGGGGGTGGGGGAGGGGGGAAAGGGGGAGGGGGGAGGGGAGGAGGACGGACCCCGCGTTCCCGATCGCGGATTATGCAGCTTGTCTTGCGACCTGGATGGAGATTAATCGAGCCAAGGTGTCCGTTGGGCGTTTCGTTCTGTATTAATCGATTCTGACAACGTTTTGTGGAGGTGTTGGATATTCACGAGACGCGCGGTTGTTCTATTTTTCTGCACTGATTTAGACGAATACAGTGAGAACGAAGCCTAAGTATACACCTTACTGTGGTGAGGTTCGTGGAATATTTCCGTATCATCGTACTATTGTAAAATTATTGCAGCAATACAGTTGGATACATGGGCGAAGCCAGGTTACCAGTCGGGGGGGAGGGGGGGCAAAAATATTACCACATCGACTGCTATAGTAAAAAAGGCTGTACGTAGCCAGACACACTTTATACTGTTTTTAAAGTCATATATCGTTGAAAATGTATGCGTTTCGTTAATAGAGGCTGTTGGTCGTGTTTCAAATAATACTGCAATATTAAATATTACGCAAAAATTGTATAATTCTGGGAAGGGAGTGGGGGGGGGGGGGGCAAAATTTTCTTATAGGGTGGATCAAAATACACTTTTTTCCGTCCAGAGGGGAGCAAGTGTTTATTGTAGGAAGGGAAAGTACACTTACCACTCCATGGTTTTCGTGGCAAGGACATTCTTCTCCACGCGGGAACTTCCGCAGGTTACGAAATATGTTAAGCTGATGATGGGACACCTCGATGCATTTCTTGAACAGGATCCATGTAACGCTTTCGTTGCAGGGTGGCGTGGTCAATGAGCCCAGGTACGTCCAGTAACCGTTGTCGTCTGCGCGAACAGGCAGAGTTTGAGGAAAGTGTCGTTTGGCGATTGAAAGGAAATTGTACCGCGAAGGTCAAAGTTCCCGACGCAATAAATTACGGAAGGCAAAAGATGGAAAGCGCAATCACGGGACGAGCTAACGCGCATTATACCTCGAACGTTTAAGTCGGCTGATAATTTATTAACGCGGGAAATGACGAGAGGAATTATGTAACTTCATCAAAATGGAACGGGAATCTAGTTAACAGTGTGATCTTTACGCGCCATCCAGCGTCGGAACTTTTCACTTTGTAGACATTTTAATGGGGCTATGTTCTTCTGAGAAAATAAAACATTATGTAAGTGGCTGATACTTAAGTGTTAGAATATTCTCTTTTATAAATCACAGGAAGAACAAAAATATTCATCTGGTCTTAGGACCTGTTGTTTAAACACACGATAACTAAAGACTGCGGATGTTCGTGCAAATATAGATTTTTATGAGCTGAACTACAAGAACTGAAGTCGAACACAGATGTGGTGATTCTTTTTATTATTCTATTGGGTTCCCAATAAAGTGAAAAATGTTTCTAAACTTTATCAAGCTCTTGAGTATCCTGAATTCTAGAGAATCGTGTATGCAATAAATACATAAATTCTGCAGTCTAATAATAACTACTAAAAAATCATTTTTATATGACTTTCAATCTCGTATGGTGTCAATAGTCTAGCACAAAATGCCGCAACTTCTTAAATGATTCAAAGACGGTGGTTGAAGAAATATATGAAATTTTAAAGCGTGTTTTCGTCGAATAAATCGATCGGGCAACAGGAAAGAAAACAGTTCGATTATCTCTGTACGTAATTAGGTCTCCGTTTAATAGTAAAATAGAAAAGAGAATATTCGATCAAAGGAATGAAAGAACACAGCCACTGGTGACTATTTAGTGATGACATTTCGAAGGTACTTACCAGGAAGGAGTTTACTGGGATCGATAAGTTCGGCAATTTCTACGACTTCGTCCTTATGCGACACGTATGGCAACATACGCGCTATCTTGTCCATTTCGTGGTGCGTCTTGCCCACCTGAAACAGAAATTATCAAACAATACTGTCAGATTGTGTTGCAAAATGAAAATATTCGCAATTTACTATGATTTGTCAAAGATCATGAGTTGTGCGAAAAATTTTGTATGCCATAAACGTGTAAGATCCGTAGTCTGTTAATAACACACGAATCATTATAAGATTCAATAAATTTTCTTTACTTTCAATTTATACAGTACTTCTAATAGGAGCAAAAATAATAACATTACAGACACCTATGTTTACAAAAACCTTAACAAAATTTAAATCTACCTTTGCAGTTTACAGTAGACATTCGTTAAATGGAGCCCCTTTTATTGTATATTGGCAACGCCCCTCGCTCACACGTATTTCTTACACACATACGCATACTCCACTCTATTTCCCGGGAAGGAAAGAACGCAGTACGTACGGTGTTGCGTTTAACTCGCATATTTTTCATTACAGAAACTGTGGTGTATGTAATATTGTTTTAGTAAAATGTTTCAATACTCAATAACTTCCGTGAATAAACTTATTTGATATCTCCAAAAATAAATGAAATAGTAAGACGATCAAAAAGTGGAATTCTGGCCCACTACAGCCCCGAAAGATGCATTAAACGAATGTCTACTGTATTTATGCCTCACGGAACATTTCAGTACGCCGTCATTTTGTTTTTGTCGGCTGCTTACCGCTGGCTGGTGGAACATCTACCGATAAATTCCATAAAAAAAGAAACGAAGAAAATATTATCAAATAACGACAAATAGAAACAAATTTCCTGCGTTATTTATATACTTTTGAGTTGTTAAATAAGAGGGAAAATTAAAACATTTTTTTGCATATGGAAAATTATTGTTTATTAAAAATTAGACATATATATCCTATTATATATTATTTACATAGTAATTTCTGAAAACTTGAGCTATATATCTTTCAACTAAAAGCGTTTCACTCGAAATGCAGTTTTCAAAACCGGTACCAGAAATACATATTTAAAAGACTACCTACTGAATCAGTTTGGATCAAAGTTTGTGGTAATATTCTTAAGACTAAAATTTAGTACTCGACGAAGTGAATTTTTGATTCATGCATTTTCTCTCTTTTTAGTAACAAATGAAATTAAAAATTGATGTCGTAAACTACAAGTTTAAGTCCAAACAGCCGTCATTTTGTAAAATATTAATATTTTCAAAATCGGATTCTATAAGTACTAGTTCCTTGTGTCTACTTTAATATAGAATTAAAAAAACTTGTTTCGGATAACAGCCCACAGAGATATTCCTGATACTGCAGATGGTGTTTTGATGAAACGTGTTATAATTAAATGGCAGCCATTTTCTTTTGTTGATAGATATGCATAGATCTAAATTGTTCAGAAATTACTAAGGAAATAACATATAGAAAGATGTACATGTTGAATTTTTAATAAACAATAATTCTACATATACACAAAAATTTTTCAATTTTCCCTTCTATTTGACAACTCAAAGATTTATAATCCGTTAATTCAAGAAATATTATTCTCTAACACATTTAGATAAAAGTTAAACGAAGGAAAAGGCTAAACAGACGCGGCTAAATGTCTACGATCACATGATAGAGAGTAAAGACATGCATCGCCTGAAAAGTCGTAGTGAAATCGAAATTCCTCGCGGATTATCGTGAATTGACTAGAGGAACATCACCGACGAGTCTCTGGATGGTTTTTATGGATAACACGCCGCCTCATTCGTGTTGTGTTACCCTGATTGATACTGTTTGTCTATGGCGCAACCCTCGGCGTAAGGGATAAACTTGCAGAATGCATATAAAAAAGTTTAAACAAGATAGAAAAAAGAATCATTGTGTAGCTAATCATGAATCATACTTATAACTCATACTCTTAATTCCGTTTACGCACAATTTGGAACAAGAGAGTTCCCAATTCTTACTACATACACACCTCAGTCTTTACCCTATTACCTGGGGAAGACGAGTTGGCTCGTCATTGGTGCCCGACTGTATCTTCTAATAATTTTTCTTTTTCATTTTCCTTTCCCTATAGAATCTCTCATTCGATCATGTCCAAAGTACCCATATTAGAGCAAGTTACATCTTATTCGCATTTGTTGCAGAACAAAATGCTTCAGATTGTTTTTATTAAATTTTATTTGAGGTTATTATCAGCGCTGTGGTTCCCAAACATGTCCAGTTCACAGGTTAAACTCTTGTTCTAACTCACATCACTATGAGAACATTGTTACCGAAAATGTATTTAATATTTAATTTTAATTCATTTATTAATACGGTCAGCCATATTTCTCAACAGAGTATTATCCAAGAAAGTGTTCGCACAGGGAATCGTTTATGGTAGTCTGATGGATCGCGGTCAGTCGAACGGTGGTAGCAAGTGTTATTAACGAGCGGTGTGTTATCGGAAGATCGTTCAATGTTCATCATTCAGCGAGAATGTGCATAGATTAGAATTTGTCGGGGTTGTTGACGCACTGCCAGCAGATGCTCGAATGACTTCCACGTTCATTCGCGTAGAAATTCATGCGAAAGAGCACTTCGACAGCTTGTTTGGGAAAGAAACGACGTTACATTAATACTCGATCCTGGTGCATACAAACCCAGTCATAAATATTAGGACACTTCTCGAATATGAAGTAAATCTTATCAGTAAACTGCGGATTTTATGCATTTATAGCCAATAGGGCTCTGTGAAATATACTAAAAGACAAAACTTTCTTCGGATCCAATGATTTTTCTATTTCAATCTGAACCCAATACGATATTTAAGAGGAAAAATAAATTTCTACATTTGCTCCTGTCTTCATAAATTACTTTAGAAAATGTTATTTTGCATAAAAATCCGCAGTATAGTTATCAGGCATTATGAAATTTGCTGAAAGTCTGAAATAAATAAGATCACATTTTCAGCAAACTGACCAAGTGTCCACATACAGTAGCTTCTAACTATATTGCCATGGTCGGGGCTGTAGAGGAGTAAAATGGCAATGACGCGCAGCGATTGGTAGCCAACGTTACCGCGGGAACTCGGCTGGCAGACTCGCGCTCTAATAGGTCGGGGTTTTTTCGTTCATATCTTCAAAAAAGTGGTTTCAAATCATTCCAAGAACCTCTGATTTCCGGGAGTTGAAGCAATTTTGTGACACCTTGTATTTCTGTCTATGGATCCGATTGCTTCGAATTCGATGAAAACCCTCAGCCCCCCTCACCCCATCGCCATAATGGAATCTCGTTCGATCGTAAGACGCTACTTCTCGAATTGCATATCGCGTTTATGCACCTCCAACGCAACGTGCACTCCCGTGGGCGGTCCACTTTAACGAACGCAAAACTTGGATTCACGGTTGCGCAATCGAAGCCGTTGGAATTTATAAGGACATCAAGAATCCGCCTGTCGCGGTTACATCGCGAGCGTCCGAGCCTCGTGAAATCTAGATGGATCGCGTGGAAACGGAAACAATTAATGCGGTATTACTCGTCTGCAATTCTTTTGCCAAGATGCTATCCACGCGATCTGGCGTTCGTTTACACTCGGCAATTTCACGTGTTTCCACGTGTTAGCGCGAACTTTCAATTATAATTCGTAATAAATCCCGTTAAACGGAATGATTCATTTGGGAACGGATTCCATTTTTTTCCCGCCACGTAGGATGACGAGAGGAGGACCGGAAGTGGACGATTCGATCTCGCGTTCACTTACACTCGGCAATTTCACGTGTTTCCACGTATTCGCGTGCATCTTTAATTAGTAGGTTGTGTAATAGATTCCTTTCGCGTTTCTTTATAAGAATATCGAATAGGTACGTATTAGTTTTATATAAAATTTACGTAATATTACTACAAATTTACTTAATTATATTATGTATCATCTGCCTTTTCGGTAACTTAAATATTTCTTCACTGTTAAACTGTATGCTTTCTTTATTAGAAACAATTCGAACACATGTATGTTTATTTCTTTGGAGTTTTTGAATGGTTTTTCATTAACAGAAGTTATTGTTCGAAAGACATGAAAATCAGATGGAGCAAAGTCTAGTGAATATGGTGGGTGGGGTGAAACATCCCAACCGAATTGCAATATTGTTTGCCATGTTATTTATCGACTGCGAATTTTATGCATTTATAGTATACTCAATTATTCAAAATACAGTACAGTAAAAATGTTAATACATTGTGACATGGTTTTTCTTCAATTTGGAGCTTGACGGAATCCTTAGTGGAGTAAAGAGATACCTATCTGATCATAGTTTCTGACAACGCATAAATATCCGCAGTCTAGTTATTAACCCTAGAACGCCCAAGGAGGACTCCTCGAACTCACAAGTCGAATAGCGTAAAATTACAACTATTTCCCGCCTGTAAAAAATTCTCAAAAAATTATCTATTGTCGTGTACATGTTTAAGTTTGATATTCAAAAGTCCTCGTTACTATATGTGAAAAATACTGTGCATAAGAAAAAGAAAACGGACTACACGTCTTCTTATTACGTCTTATTACACGGTATATTACGCCTTTCTTGTCTCCAAAGAATAACAAAAGATCACAGAACGAAGAATCGAACTAACGGAAGATTTGAAAGAATCAGATTCAGACTAGTTCCATGTTAGTATACTCTTTTACGCAACCATTTTATTTTACAAATACATATAAATAAAAAATAATTTTAAGGAAAAACATATGCTATCTTGTTTGCCATGTATAATATACTTGAATGTTATAAAATTGTCATCAAAAAATAATTTTTTTTAGAAGTATGTAAGAAGAGGTGTCGGTCGAGGAGATCCCCCTTGGTCGTTTACGTGATAGTTCGAGGCTCGGGCGATCTAAGGTTAAAGATCTGTGCGATCGTGTGTTATCGTGGTGGAAGGCAATTCCTTTTCTGGACGCTTTTTTTGCTATTGCTGCTGATTCAGTTGTGAATAATATATTTCGGTATTAATCGTCTGATCGTGTAGTAAAAAAATAATAAAGGATTCCTGTAATCCCACCAAACAGATAGCAACATCTGTTTAGGGTGCAGTTCAACTTTAACGGTGTTTAACACGTTGACTGCCACAGTAAAAAAGACCGTACATAGCCAGACACATTTTATTTCGTTTTTTACGTCGTACATTGTCGAAAATATATACGTTTAGTTACTGGAAAATATTGGTCTTGTTTTAAATTATACCGACATATTAATTTTACCAAAAAATTTTGTAATACTATTTAAATAATCCAGCCTCTTTGTAATGTACGTCTCACCCATATTTTATACTATTAGTTATTTCAATAAAGGACGATTTTTGTGTCGGTTATAACGAAGAATCGCAAATTGAAATGCGATCGAGCAAATTCTTCTCCGTTAATTCATGCGCAACCCAAACATCGTACTCATTTGTCATTCTAAGTTTCTGTTTTTATATGTAACGACACTGATTTATGTGAAACACTTAATATATCTGTTTATCCATCGCAGCTAGTATAAGCAACAGTTTCAGATAATACTTCGGGAAATGCGTAACACCGACGACACGAACGAACTCATTACACAACCTAATGTATTCGTAATGTTTTGTTAAGTAGAATGACTTTTTTAGGAAGAGATTCCAGTTTTTTTTCTTCTACGTACGATGACAAGAGACCAGAAGCAAACGATTCAACCTCGTGTTCCTTACATTCAGCAATTTCGTATGTTCCCACGTTTTCGCGTGAGTTTTTAATCACATGCGTGATATTCTGTTAAATATAATGTAATAGTACAATTCTCAAGTATTAGGTGCACAAACAACTACTCCACTATGGTTCCAATCTACTGGAAATACAGCTTAAATTCAGAACACCTTTCGATCTTCTGTTTAGTCAAAATAAATGGCAAATACTGTTGAGATAGCAGAGGGCTTTGAAATTAAAAAATAGTCGAGTATTTACTGGTAGACTTAATAGAATGCTTTAGGAAGAGATTCCATTTTTTTTTCTTTTACGTAGGGTGACAAGAGGAGACCGGAAGCAAACGATTCAACCTCGTGTTCCTTACATTCAGCAATTTCGTATGTTCCCACGTTTTCGCGTGCACCTTTAATTATACTTGTAATGTTTTGTTAGAAAATTATGATTGTATAGTGAGAGTCAAAAGTAAGTGTACACCTTACAAAGGTGAGGTTTGGGCAATATTGTTTTTTAAGATTTTTCGAAATATTTGGAGCAACATGTACTTTTTACTTTTTAATTTAAATTATTATTTGTAATTATATTATTTGTAATTAACAATTAATTTATTTGATATGATTTTTTAACATTTTCGGGATGAATGGCAGCTGAAAAAATTCGAGCAAAAGAAACTCCGAGCTATAACCAGAAAATTTTTTAAATATCGTCAAACATAGTGAATGTACCATTATGGTTTGGGGACAGCACGGCAATCTCAGGTGTAAGTCAACTGGTTTCTACTCATGGAACTATGAACAAATTTGGATATTTAGATATTTCAAAATCAAGTTCAGCTGCAAGTGCATTCATGGGTCTTTTAGTGAAATCGTGACTCAAAATATATGGCAAAAGTGGTTAAAAATTGTTTACTGGAAAATATTTTTAATCGTTTAAGTCCTCCCCTACAGTCACCAGAGATCTCAATGTAATAAAAAATCTGTTGCGAAGTATTCGACTCTAAATTAAGAATAATAAATACGAATAAATTCCACACTTTCAAAGTGTATACTCACTTTTGACTCTCGCTGTAGTAATAGTAGAATTCTTTAAGAAGAAACTTCATATATTTTTTTTTCATGCACATGGGATAACAAGAATTTCATTTCTATTCGTCCTCAGCCCCTCGATATCAACGTGGCAAAACTGAATTTTACCTGACCTGAAGAACCACGAATAACGATGCGTGTGTCTGTCGCGCTTATGTAACGTCGGCATCAACCGATGATGGAATGAACAGCGTGACATTATTACGGATTCTGCTTACCGTAGCTTTTCTGGCTTATGTAAAAGCTCACACGGCTATAAATATGCGCGCATAGGTGGTATGCTGCACCCGTATAAAAGGCATAAACAGCATGTAAACGAATTACAATATCGCGAGCCATGACGAGGCTTCCGAGTGTCGCCGGAATGGGGAAACTGTCAATGTCAACAGGGAAAGCTTCGTAATCGTTATAGATTGACCGCGAAACGCTTGTTTGAGTTCGAGGTTAATGTCGAAGTCAAAGTTCAATGATGACGATCAATAATCAAATTGATATTCAAAATTCAGCAGTCAAGTTTCAAATTGAAATTTGTGATTCAGTAAACGAATTCAATGATACTGTCGGGGGGTAAATTCGAGTTGATAGTTGGTTATACGAGTTTTAATTCTTAGGCGAAGTCCAATGATGAAAATTCAAATACAAATTCAATATTAGGGTCAAAGATCGATCACTGGATTCTACTTTCAATGGTTGAATGAGTATGCAGAATCGAATTGAAATGATTAGATTCAAGGTTATATCGTAACAATCGAATCCACCCATTCGTATATGTTCCCCACTTGATTGTCTATCTTTATGAATAAAGTTTATAATGAAAATGATGTATTAGATGTCAACAGCCAAGGTGGAAAAATGGCCTAGAACTGTATGTTCGAGCTGTAGATTTGGACTCTGTATTAAATGTTTTACACCTTACCATTCATAACTTTTTGTTCACCATTTTGTAACAGATTTCATATATTATCTTCGTTATAATCTTTTTTATCACCATCGAAGCCTATTGGGACATACAATCCTAATTGAAATGGCATTCTATTTTCAAAACTATACTTAACCTATTGTTTTCTTCATACTCGACTATATTATAATACGTATTATTATATTATCGAATTCATCGTTAAACAAAAATCCATCTAAAAAAGTTAGATCCAAAGTGCAATTTAACGATCAATACATTTAAATTCCAGTTCAAATATCGAGTCAAACGTAAAACATTTACCATCCCTCATTTTCCAGATCTCTTAACACGTCCACAGTTCTATTATTTCATCACTGAGTCAATCGAAAGAACGATAAGAAAGCGTTCTATTGAGCGCAATAACGCTCCAACGTTATGGTCGTAAGTTAATTATAACTCAACTTGATTCCAAGTGTTAGCCATAAGTGTTCAACTACCTATCGCGATATACATATTTGAAGTTCCACGTTTCCGAGCAAGAGATCGTTATCACCGGAAAGATATACTGGCAGTTGAGTAACGCCGGCTTTTTACGTACGTTTTACATTCTAGAAACAGGGAAAACGCATGACCAGCACACCGATTGAAAGTGAACCAGGTAAAATGTGTAGAAAAATCTGAGATCCAGGAAACGGTGGAGGAAGTAGAGTGATTACTGACCTTCAGAAAGACACCGAGAACAGCGAGGCCATCTGATGCTTTCGCGGCTTCGGCGAACGTGTTATACTTGCTCGTGTTCCAATGAACTAGATGCAACTGCAACACAAGACGCAACGATCCATTAGAAAACACTTCCTCGATATAAACATTATAAAAATTTCGCATTCAATATTATCAAACTACACACATGTTTCATTTTTCGGTAAATTAATTTTATTGTTTTTTTTACAGAATGACTGTTGAATAACACTGCAAGTTATAAATTTAAATGTACCATAATAGCAATTCTTTTAGCCTTCTTTAATCACATAGGCCCTAGTTAAAGTTGGTCGATTTAACGTTTTACCGTAAAAGTTCATTTATAGTTCTGAATTGAAGATTGTGTCACTCATATGTGAGTGACGTGGCTGTCGACGTGTTAATTGTGCTTGTACGAGTATCGAGATCCATAAAGGTACTAAGTAAACAGGTGAAGGACCTTATCGATTTGAAAGTAAAATATAAATTCTAACCTTTCGTAAATGAAACGATCTGTAACAGAGTTAAAAGACCCTAGGATCTTAAGTCCAGAGTATATAAATGAAAATGTTTTAAATCTGTAAGATTTTATTTTTACAAAATATACTAATGTTTCTTTCATTTGAGCTCCTCTACTACCCCTTAACACATTGACGACTGAAAACGATAAATCTCACTTTCAGGCACGTGCATTATTTATTTATTATTTCTTCGATCACAGTATTTCTTTTCTATTCCAATATTATTAGCTTCATTACAGAGGTTATGTTCATTTGTTTGTCCGAATTCGGTGTACAAATATTCAAGTGCAGCAAATTTGAACGAAACTTTATTAGTCGCCCATGTGCTAATGTTAAACTATTGAAACGTGTACTTTGGATATCCTATACACTAAAGACCCAAGCACAAATAGTTATAATTAACGAAAAACTTAATTTAAAAAATGTCGTGATGACGGCAACGGTTTGTAATCCGAAGGTTAATGAACTTCCTCGAAATTTTTTATTTGACATTCTTCGCATGTATCGACTCTCCATAATCGTTCGAACTTGTACACAATGTCAAATTGTAAACACGGAAGATTTGTACGCTTCTCGAAATTCGTTTCGACTTGCATCACTACACGAGACAATAGCCATTGGCGATAGACTTAATGAACGTTAATGATTGGAAACTACACAGCGCGGGCTATTCATCAAAGGCGTCATGCGATCAGGAAGAAAGTGTATTGTTTCCACGAGTCATTAAGTCCGATGTCTAACGCGTTGTTCAAACAGCCGCGGGAAAGAAGTTTCACCTAGCTAACGGTTAACCGTCTGTTCACGGAGGTGGGTCAATTCCGACCCGTATTCTGTTTTCTGTTTCCTTTACGATTGTTGTAAACACGCATAACAAAAAATTTACTTGTATTCATAACGGATACTTTTTAATAAATAAGCTATATTTCATAAATATGTATCCTTTTATTTTCAAACTATTCACTGATAATAAAGCACTTCAACGAAAACAGTTTTTGTGAACTATATTTTGACACATTGACTGTCAACGGAATAATAGAAAATTTTACAGATTTAAAGTAATTTATGTTAACTTTGCTGTTGTTTTTATTACATAAAATCTTCGCATTTGAAGCACTGTGGATTAAATTATTTAAAATTTTGAAATATTTTATTCTTAATTAATGGAAAATGTACAGAAAGTATACATAACATTTAAGTACCCTCACGAGCAAACTCGACTTCCGCTAGGGGAAAAAGCAGCGTAGGGGTAAAAGGCCTCCTATCACTTGATCTCTGGTGTTATTGAATGTCAAATTAAGATTCGGTTTAACATTTACTTTAGTAATTGAAATGAATTTACCAAGTGATAGGAAGCCCTTACACGCTGCTTTTTCCTCTAGCGGAAGCCGAGTTTGCTCGTGAGCACCTTTCGCTGCACAAAAATTAGACACGTGCTATCGAACATCATCAGTGGTGTAAATAGTGATGAGTCATTAGACTGTTCGAACATGTACGAACTCAACACAAGAAGTTCAAATATTTTGAACACAATTCGAACCAGACGAGATTTGGTTAATTTGTAAAAATCGGACATGTTAAAAATTAGTCTACTAGCCCCAGTCTCTCCTACTTAATAAATGCGAACTGTTTGGATACTTCAAACTGCTTAAATAGTTCTGACTTTTTTAGGAGCTCTAACGCCTTGCCAGGTTCGAATTTTGTTCGGACTTTTCATACCAGTTCGAATTTCTCGAGTTTGAACCAGTTCTAATTTCTTGTGTCTGAGCAAGTTCAAATATGCTCTAACTTGTCTGTTCTGAATTAACGAACAAACGTCTTCGCGCTGAAAGTGGTGTGAAAATATTTATCGAGCGGAGCCACGTGATTCCAATCTGCTACGAAGTTATCTCGTTAGCTGCCATATGTTAACGTCGAATATTTAGCTCACACTGTTTAAACGGTGCGTAAATCGCGACGGTCGCTTAACCGATCGTTTCGAAACACCGAGTCCATCACATGTCGCGAAAGCGTCGTTCGAGGTTTTCCATGATGCATGAATTCCTCGCCTATTATAGAGGATACGCGCTCGGTGCATTCCAAGTGCATCGTGGACAACGACAGAACAACGTGCGTGGAAATCGAACTCGAGCTTGAGGCGATCATCGAATGTCTATTTTTGTACATAGTCAGTGCAGTGGATGAAGCACGGCGAACGGCTTACTTCCACGTTTCCGAATCTTCCAGAAGACATGAGAGCAATAGAAAATTTTTAAGATGTCGATGAGCCAAGCTTGTGGAGATTTTTCTCTATTTTTATAGGCAATTAAATACACGAAAACATTAGTTGACTTGTTCTGAGAATTTAAAATCTTCAGACATTTAAAAACAACTGAAAATTGTTAAAGAGTATTTTCTCGTAATTTTTATTTCATTTTTATGGCTAGTTAAATGGAGAATAAAACACCACTTGGTTTGTTTCGACAGTTCAAACTGTGCGAGAAAATTTGTTAAGACATCTTGCGAAAAAATCAATATATTTTCCTGTTGTAATAATCAATGACGAGAGAATAAACTTAAGTTACTTTATTTCGAAATCGCCGAACAATGGCGAAGGCAATTGAAGGTTGTGAAAACTTGTGTGTGTTGGATTTCATGCGGACTTTTTCTGTTTTTATAGTCTGGTAAGTGAAAAAAACATACCAGTTGGCTTATTTCCATATTTCAAAAAATCCTCCAAGATGTCTGAAGTAGACTTGTGAAGATATCTTCTATGAGCCAGAGCTGCTTAAATACAGTGGTAATGCGAAATGCCTGAACGTTGCGTTACATAATTCAATTACAATTTCCATGCAAATGTTTGCCTCAATGGGAACGGCAATTATCGTAATCGCTTCTCTACGTCTTTTGAACGTATTCTGAGAGGATATTGTCGGAGATGCATATTGCGAAGACAATGGCGCGGAAAATGGTTGACAGACTTTACAATGTTGAGGAATTGAAAACAATTTATCGTAGGTTTGATGTGTTAACATGGTTTCTAGATTCCGGAGCATCTGAAGGAATACAAAATTGACCTTTAAATGTTAAGTACATAGTATATATTCTTTCCACTTTCCATTCTAGTTCAGTATCATCTTCAAGAAAAATTGAATAAAAAAATATATAAACAACATTATAACGAAATTTTAATAATTAGCAATAGTCTAAATTAAGTACAATATGCAATTACAAATATTTTTAGGTACATAAATATATTATCTATACGTCAATATACATTTACACTTCCGTTCATCAGTATTAGGACATTTGTAAAATGTGAAGAAAACTTGAAAAATCATTACATAATTATTGACAGAATTAAAGAGATAGTGTCTAGTGAGTATTAAAGTTACATAGTTAATATTCCACGATAATATATAATTATGAGAGTGCTGTAATTTGTACGAAACATCGCATTTGTTTTACCCAGAATAAGTGTCTTAGTATGCATGCACGGGAGTGTTAAAGAAAATTTTGTCTTTCTATTTGTATGATTTTAAAAGACGACTGATTTGCTTAAAAATATAACGAACCTACGTAAATATTCATTAATGAACATCTAATATGATTACAATTTCACTAAAAATATAAAACGGTAAATATTCAGTAATGAACCATTTGTCTGTCAGATCTTCCGTCTCCCGACGATTAAAAAACAGGAAAAAAATTCACATTACCAGTGAGAAGATCCAGGTACTCAATATTAAAAATGAATGCTGCCACTTGTACATGAGAAATATATAGCCGAAACGGCAAGAATCACCCGAGCTACCTGCAGGGATTCACCTATAGAAGCCTCGATGATCTCGAGACGACGAACGACGAAGAACGGCTCGCTTGGACAAGGTCGAAGGCAGCAGTGAGTTCACGTAGACTCGATGCTATACACTATACAGGATCGTGACGCGAATCATGCTTTGCGAGAGTGAATCATTAACGATCCACCGCGAACTCCCGGCCGGTTACGAATGTCAGAGAACCCCGGTTAATCACTTATCCCGCGTGCGTCCTTTTAAAATCGTTTAAGAGCACGCTGTTCACATTTCAACCGTGCTCGGGACCTTAAGCGCTATTGTGTTGCTATTGTTCCGCATAAACCTCGAGAACGGAATGTTTTCTGTCGTGGATCGAGGCTTCTAGTCGAAGACAGAAGGGTGATAGATATTAGAGTCTCTAGAAATAGAGTCTATAGAGGATTAGGAGTGATAGAGAGATCTAGGAGTCTCTAGGAATACTGTCTATAAAAGACTAGGAGTGATAAGAGATATTTAGGAGTTTCTGGGAATAGACTCTACAGAAGACTAAGAATGATAGATCTAGAAGACTGTAGAAATAGAGTCTATAGAAACCTAGGGGTTTGTAGAAATAAAGTCTATAGAAAACTAAAAGTATCTAGGAATAGAATCTACAAAAGACTAGGAGTCTCTAGGGATAGAGTTTATAGAAAACTAGAAGTTTGTGGAAATAGAGGCTATAGAAAAGTAGGAGTCTCTAGAAATAAAGTCTATAGAAGATTAGGTGTGATAGAGATATCTACGAGTCTCTAGGAATAGAGTTTATATAAATTTAGGAGTCTATAGGAATAAAGTCTATAGAAAACTAGAAGTCTCTAGAAATAGAGTCTACAGAAAAGTAGGAGTCTCTAGGAATAGAGTTGATAGAAAACTAGAAGTTTGTGGAAATAAAGTCTATAGAAAACGAGGAGTCTCCAGGAATAGATTTTATAGAAAACTAAGACTTTCTAGAAATAGAGTCTATAGAAACCTAGGAGTCTGTAAGAATAGAGTCTATAGAAAACTAGAAGAGTCTAGAAACAGAGTTTACAGAATACTAGGAGTTTCTAGGAATAGGGTTTATAGAAAACTGAAAGTTTGTGGAAATAGAGTCTATAGGAAACGAGGAATCTCTAGGAATAAAGTCTATAGAAAACTAGGAGTTTTCAGGAATAGAGTCTATAAAAGACTAGAAGTAATAGAAAGACCTAAAAGTTTTTAGGAATAGAGTTATCAGCAATGTTTCAGGGATTACTGACGATCATTATCTGTACCAACGAGGAATCGACTATTTCTCAATCAGGTTAAATACTTAAAATTAGGGGAACTGAAGATGTATTCCATCTTAGCACGTAACTATCTGGAAGCTACTGAATAGGTTTTTAATGCGAGCACTTATCAAAAGTGAGCTCATTAATTTCACTTTAACCTTCTTCCGGCGGATGCAGGCCTATTTTGAAGTAATAGTGGCTCTCTACCTATTATTCGTTATGAGATGTAAAGAGCTCACTGAACAGGGAACACGCCATGATATTGAAATATTATTATGTTTATATTATTACTTTATCACCTCTACGTTTCTAGTGTTTTTAGTGATTCATTACTTTATGCGAAAAATATAAAAGTTCAGGTATTGTATTTCTGTGTGTGTCCAAATTTATGAATTTTGTACACAATTTAATGTTCAAAACTACACAAATGTATCAAGATGATCCCTGAATTCGATTACTATGTCGAGTACACAATATTCGGTTTTCAATGGTTATATAAGAATTTTGAGGGGAATTTACACCATGTTAATCAATTTCATTTAATATAATGCCAGCCTTTAAAAATCGATTCATAGATCATTGTTGATTGTTACGAGTATCAGATAGCTTGTTAATTTAGATAGCATAAGTAAAGTGTGGAGAGTATTCATGGTTATTCGCTAATCTCTTCGTCAAGAAACTATTTTACATCTGACCACTAATTTTGTTAAAAAACATAGTAGATCCTTTATCAATATTTTCAGTAATTAATAAGTATGATACGAGCCAAGATATAGTGAGGTCGTAAAATCGGTAATCGGTCATAGTAAGCACGTTGTGGTCACCGAAATCGCAGAAAATGGCTTGAAATCTCGACTAGGGTCATAAGAAGGGGAAGCTTAATACAAAATCAATGTACTTTGTACAATATATTGAAACAAAAATTAATTTCTCTTTCTCGTTTTTAAATTAGCGTGGGGATGCAAGCTTGTAAATGATATTCACAGCTCGAAATTCAAACTGCTTCTGACAATTTTACTAATTGCTGCAGGTAGGACAAGATTAGGGTATTTTTCTTCGAGACGTGTCTGTAGGGAATAAGGGAAAACCTAGCAAGCAAATTTACCTTTGCCGATCAAATGAGAAACACTAAATGTTCTAAATAGTAATTAATATTCGCAGTTCCTTTTACTTGTAAATACTACCGTGAATCATTGTCACATTTTCATTGCGTGGAACCCTACAATGGAATGTAGGATACGGTCCTAGATTCGGTAACATTAACCTTGCTATATCTTGGCCTGTATTACAATTGTCATTTAAGTCGAACAAACCTCTCCCGCGAACGCTTGGCTATCCACAGTATGTTCCGACCCCCTGGAATCGCTGCATCCCCAATGACAGTGGTACTGTTCCAGCTTATAGACATCGTCGATCAGAGGACCACCGCTCAAAACTGAAAGTGGACAAAGTAATTCCGTTTAAAAACATATGGCGAATTTTCCATAAAAATTGTACAATCGTATATTGTACTACACTTTCTATTAGCAGCATTTCGTAACACAACAAGCAGGTCAAAATTGAACCTGGACTTCAAATTGAAAAATAAAATTGAAGTAATTAACTGTTTTATCGTTAACAAAATGTTGCTTTGAACTCTTTGAAATGGATTATACAGTATCATCGTTTGTGTTTATTACAAATGGAAACTCGATCGTCCAAATTCGATTTTTCAAACGAATGCAGTTGCATACAAAAGGAGTACATATGTATAGGGTTTCCCATTTTAGTCAATCCACTCAAATATCTTCAAAAGCGTTGATGATACCGATAAAAGTTGAATTGTTTCAAAGGGGAAGTAATTTGATGTGCGTAGTTTTTCTGCAAGTGCAAGACATTTGAAGGTCAAAATAAACTTTTTTTAATGAAATCACGTACTTTTTAATGACCAGCTATCTACAAGAAATATATCATTTTATTTAATAAAACAGACTGGACCTTCATATGTCTTTTACGCTTTCACCAACGAAAGACTATGTGTTCCTTGAAACCATTTAATTTTTGTCGGAAGTATTTTTGTAGTAGCATCCACAGTTTCCAAGATATTCGAATTGATCGATTTAAATGGAACATCCTTATATATTATTTATTTTCGTATGTAAAATCACCTTTTCCTCGGTCGTACCACACAATGCGGAACGCCCGTTCTACAGGTCATAGTTTCCCACCTAACGTTAGCACCTTTAATATCTCACTTGCTGTTAATTTTCAGAAAATTTATTTTAATGAATGCCCAAAGTGATCTTTATCAATTTCGATACATTTTTGCACTAACCCTTCTATTGTAGTTATTTTATTATTTAAATCTACTCTCATATATTTGTGAATTTTTCGTACTCAGGGTCACATGAAGGTCATACTATTATACATAGGTCATTGGGTTGATCTTGATCTCAACTATTACGCCACTCTGATAAAAATATGTAATCCCATTTAAAAAACGTCGATGACCTTGACATTTTAAGAAATATAACCTTGAACAAATTTTTGCTTATCACATTATTTACTCCTCCTAACGAAATAATACTTTTCCCTCACATTTTTTTGTATCTTCAAAAACAAGTGAGATATGGAAGGTGCTTACGTTAGGTGGGACACCCTATATGTATATGTATATACGACTTCAAAGACACATGGCGTCATAAAGGGTTAATTCATATCCAATTATTAAAATGGACGATCTTTCATGCGTAATGTGACAGCAATTACTTTATTTTCGGACGTTATTCAGGACGTCTACAGCGAGAGTGAAAAGTGAGTATACACTTTAAAAGTCTGGTATGCGTTTATCTTTATTTCTCTTCATTTTGAATCTAGTATTTGGCATAGTTGCTCTATTACATTGAGATCTGGTGACTGTGTTTTTAACCACCTTTACTGTATATTTTGGGTTTTAAAAAGACTCATAAATGCACTTGCAGCTGAATTTGATTTTAAATTATTTAAACATCTAAATTTGTCCACAGTACTATGGAGAAAATTAACTGTCCTACACCAGAGGTTGTCATGCTGCCCCAACCTATAATAGCATTATATGTATATCTACCATATTTAACGATATTTATAAAATTTTGTAGTTATAGCTCCGAAGTTCTTTTGTTCGAATTGTTTTTTATATTGTTAAGAAAAGTTTGTTTTAAATTGTTAAGAAAATTATATCTAATTTTATTACTGCCATGATCTTATAATAGTAGAATGCTATATAAGTATTACACGAACTTCACCTTTGTAAGGTCTATAGTTAGTTTTGACTCTCATTGTATGATCACAAAGTTCCCGAAACTGCCGAGTGTCCCCAAACGGGACAAAGCGTAGTTATTGTAATTTGCAAATAAGGTCGATATCATATTCCCACGAGACTCGCAGGACGAACGCGGATCGTTTGGCAGCGTGGAATTACAGGATACGCTTGATTAACTGAATTGCGTGAATGATACCAGGGGGGGGGCACACGAGACGAGACTGTGATCGGTGAGGGCTAACTCACTTGTTGATGTAAAGAGAGAACGTGGCAAGAGAGGGAAAGAAATGATAATAGAGATTCATTGGAGACGGGTCAGAGTCGATGAATATTTCGAGTCAACAGAACTCATTGACATTAGAGTGGTTGAAGTCGTGTTGCGTTAATGGTAACTACACTCTGGAACGTATATTATACGAGGTGTGACTGAAAAATAATGAGACTGGTTCTCTGAAACTCTTTATTAGCAACTAAATTACAGATTAACATTATCCGCTTCAAAAATAGTTCTCTTGGTAAACTAAAAAGGTGGATGGTTCCATCAGGCCGGAAATATAATAAAAACCGTACTGCAGTTTACTAAACTTTTTAATACACTGAATTTTATAAGTGTACAAAATGCGCAGTCTATATCTTAGAAGTATCTAAGGATAGTTCTGACGACCAATAACAATTAACGTTATCATGTTCGGTCTGGCTCGACCTATCTAAAGGCACCTTGAAATATAAGTTAACGACTAACCGTATTTAATATGTTTCGTAAAAATGCAATTAAAATAAATACTGAAGGCAACAGTGAATCACCAGTAGGTAAATAACAAAACAAACGCAAAAACGTCTAGTTTCATAGGGATTATCATTACTCCTGAATTCAAACAATTACAGCGTTCCGTTAACTCACTTTCTGAGGTGACTGTGTACCGATGATGCTCCCTACAACTGCACCTCATCAACTGAAGTTAAATACCAAACACAAGGGGGTTGCTGAATAAATTTACTGTTCAATTAAGTGTCATTCACCTTTCGCGAAACGCCACTCGTCAATCCCCGTGTACACAAGCGCGGAAAAACACCTCCCCCCCCCTTCCCTCCCGCAACTCATTCTCGAGCATCGATGTTCACCCAGTGGCAAACCACTGTGCACCGCCGTTTGCCAGACGTCGGGAACGATTTGTCATCGTTAATAATGAAAAACGTAACGAACGAGAGGAGCGGAGAAATAAAACAGGCCACGGTATCGTTAGGGCTCGGTTATCGTTCCATCGATTCCCTGAAATTCTGCTCTATTTCTGTCATGTAAACGCTCAGTTCCCGTCACATATGAGCACGCATAATGCGTCACGGCACGGTCGTCCCCGTTTCGAGAGCACACCGCTAAAGGTAATAGCCCTCCTATAACCGGCACGAAACCGCCATCGAAGCGTTCGGGAAACAACAGGCGCGCATACGCGTCCCGCAGTGGTCCAAATCAAAATTTAGCAGATCATACGGCTTATTTAGCTTAAAGAATGAAACATTTTGTAACTCGTAATGTTACTTAAATAAAAGTAAAAAAATGAAAACTTTGTTTATCACTTTTAGGAATCCTCTTCATTGACGTGATCGTTTTCTAACAGTTTCTCGACTTTTATTTTTTTTAAATCGCATTTTTAATCGCTCTTTCGATACGCCCGCATCAGCTGCAAAATGTATTATACGATATGGTTGTACAAACCGCACGTGAATTTTGGAGCAATACAAAAATTGGCAATGCTTCCGCACGTTTGGATATTAAGTTGTAAATAATTTTTTAATACGAGAACAAAGGTTCAGTGAACACGTAATCGCAATAAAATTTAATATTCGATCTACTTCAACAATTCAAGAACTGATTAATATACATGGAGGTCGTAGTTGTCGCGTCCGTCCGCGCGGATTCTCTTTCGAATCCGCCTGAAGTTGTAAATTCCAGGCTCGACCGTCGTGGTACGCGTCCCGTTGCGAACTGTTGGCGGCTAGTTATTCTTAATTCCTGAAAACTCGTTATTTCTGGAGAATTCAAATTCTTCACTCTTTCAACGATCGAAGAGGATGTTCTAGTTTGCCAACAGATTGCGGATATCTGTGCAAATTCACATTTTATGAAGCAATTTGTGATGATAAGAGATAAATAAAATTTTATTGCTTCAATGAAAGATTTTACTATTTAAAGAACTGTGATTGTCACTTTATTGTGTTTTAATTACAGTTGCCTAGATCCATTTTGACTCCTAATCAAATTTTTATCTATGCAGAAAAATGATTGAATGTACTTTACCAATCTCTTTATACAACCTAATATGAACTCAATGTAATTGATTTCATTATCATAAACTGAGGAGTTAGGTAATGATTTTGAAGATCTGAGTCAAAATAGACCCACGGAACAGATTAACACCATCCGGAGATTAATATTTGCATGGTAATTAATATTTCTGTTAATTGTTTTATATCATTGGTTTGTTTATATCATTTGGTTGACGAGTTGGCTTAATCAAAGATTGTTAATTTTGAGATATTTGCAAGAATTATCTCCACAAGTAAGCGGTTTGTATCTGAAAGACAAGAATGTATTCATAAAAACAAGGTAATTAATATTTCTGTTAATTGTTTTATATAATTGGTTTGCTGGAAGAGTGACACATCGCAAAGATTGTTAATTTTGAGATATTGGCAAGAATTATCTCCACAAGTAAGCGGTTTGTATCTGAAAGACAAGAATGTATTCATAAAAACATTATGTGATACTTTTTTAAAGTTAAATAATATATATTATATTATTATAATATATATTATATAAATAAATGGTTACCATGTATAGTTAAAATACTATTATAAGAAGAATGTCACAATTCAAAATAGGGCTGTCTCAACTATTTTTTTAATTATAAACAATACATATATAAACGATATTTTATTAGAGACCCTTAAAGCCGAAAGACTATTAGCTAAAAATTTTGCATTGCTAATTGGTTGAGTAATAAATCATTTTCTACCACAAATTATGACAAACCGATTTCTTGAAAAATTTACTTTCCTTAGGTGTATCAATCTTCTAGAAAATCGACAATATCCTTCCATTACCTTTCATTATCCAATTTTTATTTGAACCTTATGTCCCACCTATAATTACGCCTTAATTCATTCTTATGTAAGGATTATACGCCTGTTAACCCTTAACTACAGACGACACGCCTACAAGAGATAAATAATTCGAGTACGACTACTTTGCAATATGATCGATAACCAACTAAACGTTATTTTCCGTTGCCGTTATGGACATAGTATACCATTTATTAACGATTAAAGGTATCGAAACGTTAGAAGCTTAAAAAATTATTCACTAGGTTGTGACAGTAAAATAAAAATTCAAACGAGTCGTCTGTAGTTAACCATTGACTGCGAACAGCGACTTCCAATTGGCGAAAGTACCATTTTTGAATCTGCCGTGGTATCCATCGTGCGCTTCATCTGTGATAACTTCAGTTGTTACATTTTATTAAATTTACATTAACATTTGGATGTTTCTTTAAATTACTAACAAACAACATCGTAACATTGTACACAGCGAGCGTCTTACTTCCGAGTGGCATGGATATTAACATATCGACTGCCACAGTGAAAAAGGCTATACGTAGCCAGACACACTTAATATTGTTTTTAAAATCATAAATCGTAGAACATGTATTCTTTTCGTTAGTAGAGGCTGTTGGTCGTGTTTCGAATTATACTGCAATATTAAATATTACGCAAAAATTTTGTGAAGGGAGGGTGGGGGACAAAATCCAAATTTTTTCTTGTAAGATGGGGCAAAACCCACTTTTTTCCGTCCAGGGGGGTGGCAAGTGTCCCCCTTTGCCCCTCTCCCTCTCTGGCTACGCCCATGCCAGGAGACAAACAACGCAAGACTAGGCTGAATATCGTTTAACGGAGCACACGACGGAGAGAGTGTAGACTCCGCACTGTGAAGAAGAGCTTTAGGGGTTAAGAAACGCGTTGTGTCGTGCGGTTCATTCGTGCATTTAAATGCGAGACTAAGAACTCGTTCGTTACCTCAAAGTCCAGGGCGAATACCTGGGGGAGGGACGATTGCGATCGGCAGCATTGAATTGCAGATCGGTCGCGAATGCAAATATGTTATAACCGTTTCAAATTTCGTGGGAAGAGGCCTGTCGACGAGGAAATCAGTCGAGATCATCGATCTTCTTTCACGGACCGAATTTCGATAACAATTGCAGTTTCTTGACCTGTACACCGAAGATGACGAGTTAACTCGTCTTACCCCCTGTGGAGACATCGCCCGATGACGAGTTGAATAATCTTACTCTCTACAGAAACGTTACCCAATAACGAATTAACTCGTCTAATACAGTACAGAGACCTTGTCTGATGACGAGTTAACTAGTTGTTGGGTAACGTTTATGCAGAAAGTAAGACGAGTTAACTCGTCGTTGGACAAGGTCTTTGTAGCACGTAAGACGAGTTAAAACGTCATTGGACGTTTCTGTAGTGGGTAAGGCGAGTTAACTCGTCGTCGGACAAGGTCTTTGTAACATGTAAGACGAGTTAAAACGTCATTGGACGTTTCTGTAGTGGGTAAGGCGAGTTAACTCGTCAAGGAATAAGGCCCCTGTACTGTATACGACGAGTTAACTCGTTATTAGTGCATTTCTGCAGAGGGTAAGACGAGTTAACTCGTCGTCGGACAAGGTCTTTGTAGTATACAACACGAGTTAATCGTTTCTGCAGATAGTAAGACGAGTAAACACGTCACAATCATTTGACGTCTGCACGTAGTAGACGAGTAATGGGCCACTTCTGATCAGACACTGTCACATATGACGCGAAATGAAAGTCGAAGGTACGCATGAACAAAAACTTTACTAATTAAATAAACTAATTGCGCCATATCAACAACTGAAGCGACTATAATGTTAACATCGTTAAACAAGCAATTCTAAATCGTTGAAATTTGCTAGGGTGTTGCCACGGATAACTCCACGATGGAGAAGTCACATTGCAACCAAATTTCACCTTCCTTCGTGAGATTTCGTTCTCAGTTTACAACATATCGTTCATCGGTTGGGTTTATTGTTGACTAACAATAAGAGAGAAGATGTTTCAAGCCTTTCTGTTTAGCGTTCCGCTCGTCAGCGCAAACATCGCGGCCCAAATATTTGCTAGTGAAAAGCGACGGACTTAATCTCAACCGGTTTGGAGTGGATTTTAGTATTAACCGCGAGCTGAAGCTAATTGGTTGCACGAGCCGGGCACGAAACGCGGCTCTAATCGTTCGTTTCCGACACCGTAAGAGGCGGTTCGCCTAAATAGGAGAGCCTAGGCCGAGGAAGCCTGGTAAGTTCGCGTTTCGACGTACGAGATATAGAGGGTGTCCCGTATCTGGTGGTACAACCGAAAACCGTGGAAAAAACGAGACGAAAATATATTTACAATAAAATATTGTCGCGACGCGCTTCGTTTTCCAGATAATTGAGAGTTTAAATTATCTCATCTCATCATCATAGAAGCGAATCTCGTGACTTAAACTTTGTCCCCTTTATCGTAATGATTATCGGCGGTATTTGTGAGATTAGAGAACCGACTAGTCTAACATCTAAATGATAGGAAAATTTCTTTTAAATTTTAATTAAAATTGGTGGTGATTATTCGGTTGTAAAATAATTGGAAGTTTATGCGTTTGTCTGACTCCAGGAAATCTTAGGACGATCAGCCTCACATATAATCTTTGACAATCGACGGGGACATCTGGAGAACTGAATTGGAGCAAACTGAAACTGAGTCGGACTGGAACAAACTGGACCAAAGGAGAGAAAGCTCGAATCATCGGATATTGTCTATAGCTTCGATGAAATTTATTACAATTCCTCAATGATATCCAGGTTAGAGACATGGACCACTATTAAAAATCAGATTTTCAAACAGAAAATCATTTAAAATCACGGTTGAATTTTGCAATTTAAAAAAAAGACGTTTTCAGAGATGGAATAAACGAATTACCTGACCACAGATAAATAGAAGAAAATGGTGCGTACATCATTGATCAATAGACTGCGGGATGTTTATGCATTCACAGCATCTTTTAACTTGGAAAATGATTTTAATAAAGTTTAACACTATTTATAATCAACAGCCAATGGTACAAAAATCAAAATTCTGCTCCATTTTCATTTTCAGGTACTAGGATATGTGTCCCAATTACGGATTCTGTCCTAATTATGGAGCCTCTGTATTAAAATCATCATTAAAAAAAATACATGTATAAATAAACATAAACAAAATATTTTAATTAAATTTAATCAATAATAAATAATAATCAAAGTAAAGAAACGAAATTTTAACATGTTATAATGGTATTAATATTTATTAAAATATATGCATTGCCCTATCGGTGATTTCATACAATTTCTTGTCCAGAACCTTAAGAAATGCTTACTGAACTATTTCATATAAATTATTTATAAACAGCATCTTCACCGTATAGAATGCGTATTATATCCTAAAAAGGTTTAATGTAATTTAAAAAAATAAATTCAGCACCTACAAACATTTTCATTTTTACTTTTAAGTAAATTTTGATACCGCGAGATTTTCAATGTTGTCTATAAGACGGAGCCTCCATGGGTCTTCCCATAACCTCATTTTCTTTAAACAAAAACTGAATTATAGTAAATATTACATCAATTAAATTTATTACTTAATTACGTGTTTTATTTGTACCAAATGATTTACCACAATTCAACAATATTTGGAACAAAATAGCCCTACTTCACAAAAGTCTTCACTTCAAAGACACCGTAATACGGGACACCGAAAACGTGAACAGTCTCCGAAACAGTCTACATCTGCAGCTACTGAAAGGGCTCCGTAATACAGACAAAAGCATCTGTTTTTATTTAATTAAATACATTACAAAGATTTAATTTTTTTATACTAAAAAAATTCCTTCGTAGAAAGGAATTGTTTAGCAACAGATAGCGATTTTCAGAATATGAAATTCATATAGGAGTATTTTTTAATTAATATACGATCGCGCAAACTGGCTTAAAGCCTCCGTAATTGGGACACATACCCTACTATCTGAAACTGTGAATTTACATAAAGTTCCACAGTCTATTGATTAGGTACGCTGTTTTATTCATCGAACTAAGATTGGTATACTTAAAAACAACGCGAATAGGAACGTATTACACGATGCAATGTTCCCAGATTATATATATTATCCGTCCAGTTTCCTTGATGCACGTTTCTTCGAACGGAAAATCGAAAGGTTCGTGGAAATACGGGACTAGAAGAGGAGAACGTGAACTTACAAGTGCCTTCGCCATCGGCATCCACGCGCCAGCAATAACCCGGATTAACGAGCTTCCGGGAAGCGGTGGCCGGATACTTCCATCGCAGGGGTTTGTTACTTAGAGCCTCGTGATCGGACTCGACCCGATCGGTCTCGATGTTCACCGGACTTTGCCTGGAACCGGCCGCCATTGGGAATTTCGTTACCCATGTGCTCGGTCCTGTAATGAAAAAACAGCAATATTCATTAATTTAACTGTCTATTGTCTTTTACCAAATGTATGATTTTTACAAATATAATAAAACATTTTGAAACTTCCAATTTATGTGCCATGAAACCGTTGATAAAGAATATTTTTTAAAATCCATCTCATTTGTTTGCATTGATTTATTTGAAATGGAAAGGTTTAACGCCACAGATTCTTCAGATTTTTCTTATTTTAACAAATACATTACATTATGTATTACACTATTTATCGTATAGCTTATGTACAGAATACTTAAAAATAACAATCAAACATTTTTACATCGATTTTAATAACTACCCCATTTGTCCTACCAGTTGGACGATACGGTCTGATTCGACTTTTCTTAAAAAACGGGATTTTGCAAAAAACTGTAACTAATTATTAAATTAAACCTACTGTACAGTATGCAATATACTTTGTGTCATTAGACGACCATATTAAACCTAAGGGATCATTGTGGTCCAGGGCAAGCCGTTAAATCGTAAGTACCCCGTTTTGTTCAACTCTACCCTACGCTTTTTAAGACATTACCATAGGGTTTTTAAAAACTCTTTAAACGTTCCAAAAAAGTATAGAGAATATTACTTTTACACATTCGAAAAATGTTTTGAAAATATGACACAAGACGTCCGCAGGACTTTCCACTTTTTAAATACGACCTTCCTACGACATCTAAAGATCTTAACGAGAACATTGCGGGGGCATGTGGACCTTTCCGGGACATCCTCCGAATGTACCGAACGTCCGGAACGTACGTTCTTCAGACATACATATCACGTTCTTGTGCTATTTGGAAAATACATAATACGTAGTCACATGGCTACAGTGGAAACGAATGTGTTAACAAAATCCTTATCTCATAAATATGTAAAGAGGCCATTTCGATTCTCATAAATGCATCTATAAAAAGACGAGTTTTCGGCAAATGTGTTAATAAACTAACTTTAAGAACAAGTTAGATAAACACGTTCACTTTTCGGGATAAAAGCGTAACCAATGCATTCGTGCCTCCCGTTAGACACGATCAAGGGACACCGGTCGTCGGAAACGCGACTTTGTCGTAAGCAATATCGGAATCGCGTGTCACAATGAGGAGAAGTTTGTGCAGCCGCACGTGACTTAAGTCCGCGATAACGAGTTTCCTACGACGACCGATAATTTATCCCGATTATCAGAACCAATACAATATTGACACGATATATCTGTTGTATAATCGACGCTCATTCCTGGCGTGCCGTTAATACCGTTAATTAACGAGAGCCCATTATATTCCACGAGTAAATTAATTTTGATCACGAGATCGTAGCTTCGGGACTAAAATGACGGTGTTATGCGTCTAACTGGCTGAAAATTTAATAATATGTTTTCGTTGCCTCTGCTATCGTTGTTGTTCTCTGCTATTCTATCGAATCGAATCATTGAATTTTCCATAGTAAATTGGCAAGAAAAAAGAATAGAGATACTCGATGTGTTTGATAACGAACATCATTATTTCACTTTAATATCAGAAACCAGACGAGCGTGCGTCAGGGAAACAATTTCGAAACATTGTCTGCGTATTAATGATTATCTCCGTGAATTACAAAACCGTGTCTCTCCATGGACACGATCAAACATTTATTATCACCGTACGCTATCTTTCATTAGTTCCCCACGTTGAGCAGATCCTTATAACGGTTCCAAGCAAAATGAAAATTGCAATTACAGTGAGACGGGCACTTAATAAAATTAGTGTTTTTTTTTGTTTTAATAGCCTGACCGCGATTGCGACGATAGTTTAAGAAATCGACAGAACACGATTTCAGAGTCGAATAAGGAATCTGTATCGATTTTATTGTACACTATCGTAACATTATTTTGAATTTAATGTAACGTTGTATGCGCTGGGAAATATGAATTCACTTTGTATATTAAACATTAATGTGTTAAATAATTTCAGTATCGACCTGTATTTCAATTTTCACAATTCGTTTTATAACGAATGAATATAGTTTAAATCTACCGTGAACCTATTTTGAACTCGTTATCAAACAACTCTGAAGTTAATTTTAATCACGTTTATCAAACAAAGCCACAAACGGTTCTGGGACAGCTGCAAATTTGTAATCCTGTCATAAATCTACAATGATACGAACATAATTCTATTAAGAGCGTTGTTAAACGCTTCCAAGCAGTCTCACCAACTCAATCCAAATTGGAATATTTAACAACATTGCATATGGCACTGTGTTCCTCCAACATCTGATACTCTAACAATAAGACGCAAACGTATAATTACTTTCTTTTGTTTTACATACATTCGATTCAATATTCATGTTACAAACCATTGCAGCATTCACTTCTCGCATCAATTCAGATGCCAAAATAAATTACTTTATTTTCAACGAATCAATGTATGTATAAAGAAAACGAGGACGAATTGCGATCCATACGCAACGTGTTGACCGTTCGATGGCGGAACTGGGTGAATTTAAATTCATGTATCTGCTTCCTTTTGACTATTAAGTATCCCATTATTCGATTGTCACTTGATAGTACAATGATAATAAAGAACTTATTGCAAGGTAATCTTCAAAGTATGAAAAAGAAGATATGCCAGAGAAGTTCATTTCCTAATGTACAGGGTACCTTAGGTCGGTAGTACGATCGAACAGGTAATGATTCTATAAAAAAAAAAATCGAAGAAAGAAAAAAATTTTTTAGGTCATGTTTTGTTTTCGATACATATGTATAATCGAATTTGAAAATTCGTTGGATACCCGGGCAATAGAATAGTACTCGGTTAATGAGTCCGTTCATTGCAGACCGTTTCTACTTACACATTACCAGCACAAATACACGTGATTTAGATGAATTTTCAAACATAATTTTCTCGAAAACGAAACGAAAAAAATGTATAAAATATACTTTCCGTCCAGGTCGCGTCAGTCATCAGTGACTGACGACAGATAATTTCAAACATTATATTTTATTAAACAGTTTGAGCATTCCTAAAAGAACCCACAAAAATATGCGTAATAGTATACAGATTTCGACAAGATACGTACAAAGAATACATACATATAAAGGTATACATCTGGACCTCAGAGTCACTTTAAAAAAATGGCATTTTACATGTTTCCAGTATCAATTATTTCACTTTTTACGGTGGTAAAAATTATTTCGTTCTAAATCGTCTAGTTTTTAATATAGGTATACCATAGTCTAAAACTAATGTTAAGTTCATATTTTTAAAATAGTGTAATAGGGAATAACATCCCATGGGGGAATTAATGTAAAGTTCACCATTTCTACATATGTATCAAGTATCTTTCCGGCTGCCGGCATATCGCGGCGTGAACGGAAAGGACAACAAAGTAGACTCGGCACTTAACGTGTTAAAGAATCACCCCCTGCTTGGTTGTACCCTAACGAGCAAGCTCGGCTTCCGTTAGGGGAAAAAGTGAGGTAGGCGAAGGGCCTCCTGCCATTTAGTTCTGGGAGGTACTGGAATTTATGCCAAATTAACATTCGGTTTAACATTTATTTTAGTACTTGAAATATAAGTGGTAGGAGACCTTTCTTCTACGCCACTTGTTACCCTAGCGGAAGCCGTGTTTGCTCGCAAGGGTACGCTCGCGAGCAAACTCGGCTTCTGTTAGGCGAAAAACTGACAAACTAGTTTCAAAAAATATCAAGTTTCACCAACGTTCAAAAGGAACCCAGTTACGTATCTTAGCTCACCGTCAGACGCTCCCATAATGTCGAAGTTTTGTAGAAGTGGTAGCTTAGAGTCATTTAAAAAAATTCCATGAATCGAAACATTTTCGAAACGTCTTACGCGAGCGTACTTGGTCATCTTCTAGGTTAAAAAGAAAGTTCGTACGACAGTCAGACTATTCTCGACTATCGTCCCTCGGCTCCGCGCCAGGACAATAATCTTATAGGGAGGAATGCTTCAGACCCTCGTAAATTCGTTTTTTGCTCGAAGTTCGAGCTTCGGCAACAAAAGCGGAGGGGCAACAAACTATGTGCTTGACAGGTTCCACGCCCCCCTACCCTCAATTGGTGGAAATATCGCCTGGACAATAATCGTGTAGAACAAGCCAGACGATAATCGAGAGGAGTCTGTAAGTGGCACTTTAGGTAATTTTTCTCCATGAGATTATTGTATCCGCTGGAGGTGCGAAACAGATTGTCAAAGGAGATTATCTTCGCGGCGGGAACAGTCTTCACGGTATCAGAACGCGTCGTAAACAAGAAAAATACAACTGTTCTGTGCAGACGGTTCTTTTATCAGGGCGGGTACACACACACCGCGTTAGACAGAACCGCGTGGTCTCACAGCTGCGAGCCAGCACGTGATACGGATGACATAATCACGCGACGCAACCGCCACGATTATGTGCGCGCGGCTCACGATCGTCGCACGCCATTAATTTACGAAGTGTCTCACGGGTCTTATTCGATCGACCCTGGCGCGTTCGAGCGTACCGGAATCGTATCTGCCTCAAACTTCCTTTGTAGGTTAGACGATCGAAGTTTCTCGAGGAAAATCGATATATGTATATGTATACATATATATATATGGTGTTGGATCCATCAAGGTTCCTCTTCACGGGGAAGCACGCGTAAAAGTTCGTTCACATGTTTAAATAAGTTGCGCAAACTAACTTGTGCATTCACATTTTCACAGATAAATCATTGCGTTTAAATGGAAGGTACCAGTCCCTGATAAATAATTCCCATTAGTTTTCTTATTATTTAATTTGTAATAATTAACTATAATTATAGTTTATTCTTCATATGTAAATAAAATAACTGTACAAGATAGACTGAGCGTGTAATGCACAAATCAGTTTGCGCGAATTATTTGGATGTGTAAACGGACCTGGAGAAACGGTTAAATAAAATAACACCTACGTTAAGAATGGAACAGTTCGTGATCTATTTTTTTATAGGAAATACAAAAGTTCCGTAAATTCATCGTTGGA